GTCTTACTTTAAGTGAAGTGCAGGAGTAAATCTTAAGTCTCAGTCTTTAAGTGAAGTCTGGGAGTAATTCTTAAGTGTCAGTCTTACTTTAAGTGAAGTGCAGGAGTAAATCTTAAGTCTCAGTCTTTAAGTGAAGTGTGGGAGTAATTCTTAAGTGTCAGTCTTACTTTAAGTGAAGTGTAGAGTAATTCTTAAGTGTCAGTCTTACTTTGTGAAGTGTAGGAGTAATTCTTAAGTGTCAGTCTTACTTTAAGTTAAGTGTAGGAGTAATTCTTAAGTGTCTCAGTCTTACTTTAAGTGAAGTGTAGGAGTAATTCTTAAGTGTCAGTCTTACTTTAAGTGAAGTGTAGCAGTAATTCTTAAGTGTCAGTCTTGCTTTAAGTGAAGTGCAGGAGTAATTCTTAAGTGTCTCAGTCTTACTTTAAGTGAAGTGTAGGAGTAATTCTTAAGTGTCTCAGTCTTACTTTAAGTGAAGTGTAGGAGTAAATCTTAAGTGTCAGTCCTACTTTAAGTGAAGTCTAAAACTTCAGTCTAAAGTATAAAAATCCACTCTAAGAAGTTTATAAATTTGGGCCCTGGTCTCTTTATCCAGCATCAGTGTGGTCCACTTGTGCTGATGCTGAATTTAAAACAAGTGTACTGCTCAGGTATCATCAGATTTTGGTCATTCACGGTGGGAAGTTCTGGTTTTTAGTATTAAATACATTAAAATAGTTATTTTCATTCATTTAAATCCCAAAATAGCAGCCTAAATAAAAGCATCCACATTATAAAACTGCCCTTCCTCTCACATTTATTGGCTCATAATCAGCTCTTCCTGAGTGTGTTCAGAACATTCACTTGTCTTGTCCTGTGCCTCTGTGACATGTGCAATGAGCAGATACAGTACAAGGAATCTGTGGGTCAAGGCACTGCCATACAAGACCTCCCCGAAGTGAAGCGGGTCCGAGAAACCCAGAAGAATATCAGTCTGGTAGAGCAACAAGACTGCAGTGATCCTCCTTAAAACACCCCAAACTCTTCATTTCTAAAAGAAAATATGTAGTTTGAGTTTTGTTTTCTTCATTAATTCTAACCACGTTTCATAAACAAGSCCCTGTGTTTCCCCCAGAACTGGTCCCTTTAATCAAAATATTTCCTTATTTGTCTAATTAGTCTCTATATTCTAGATATTTTGTATCTGTATGTGTCACTGAAAACTGAGTAAGCACAGAGTATTTACCTGCCGTGTATGCTTGTTTTTGTGCTGTCTTGTTCAAAGCATCGTTACAAAGAAGGAGTGGGACACGGCACATCAGTGCCAGAGACCCCAGAGATGGAGAGAGTTAAACGCAATCAGCAACATATTAGCACGGTACTTCATCGCAGTGACCCTCCCTCCTTAAAAACGCCTCCCGAAATCCTCTCAACTAAAACAAACCTTTCTTTTACTCTTGGTTTTCTCTTCATTCCTTCTAACCAAGTTCAACAAATCACCTAATATTTCTTTCTTTATTGGTTCACGAAGAAATGTTTTCATCCAAACATAAACTCTACTTCCCTTTTTCTACAAAGGGTTGTAAAAATATCCATCACTCTTGGTGAATTTTACATTTTGATGCTTTAAAACCTGTTTTGTTGGATTTTTATTTTGACAAGTTTCAGAATTTTCTAGTTAAATGAGGGGGAAATGCTATGAATAATTCTAATATATATATAAAACTAAAAAGTGGTGTGTAG